GCGTTTCAGAAAGGCGGGGCATAGAGGAGAAACAATAATGTACAGTATGTGGAAAATAATGTGTTTTTTTAACCTTAAACCGCATAAACACATTTCATTACACCAAATACACCAAATAATGTTCTTTTTAGCAGCATCATATGACCCCTTTAAGAGATATGTATATTATAAGTACAACACATTTTCATTTATATATACCATTCCATACGAGGACACTCGACTTTCATCACTGCTTTTCTCATTCATCTGGTCTTTAGACAGCTCACCCCAGCTGTGTCTCTCTCTCTGGCTTTCTCCTGCAGGGTGCTTTAAAGACAGAGGGGTATGAACGAGCCTCACCAGAGAATGGCTACAGTGGGAACAGATAAAGAACTCAGTGACCTGTTGGATTTCAGTGCGGTAAGGAAGAGAGTATGGAGTCTTTGTTATTAGTCTGGACAAAAACGCTCTCTCGTAAAGAATCATTTTATGATTCCTTATTCACTTTGACTAAATCTGACCTTGTAGTCAGAGGATAGCAGTTTTTCTTCATACCACTTCAAACTGATCGAATCTCATGTCACAATGCCTGCTGTGTTGTTGGTGGCTATAAACATTATAATGAATCTTTAAATCATGTGCAATCTCCAGTTAGTTCCTGAGAAGTGTGGTTTGCCATTTGAAACATCTCCAGCATAATAACCATCACTCAATCCTCTCTTATCCTTATCCTTCCACTTATTATTCTCATTTCACCTGTTGTTAAAATGTGATTATTCTTGGCGGTCATGCTATCCTAAATAGCATTAAAAAATAGGGAATATAAAAATGTTAATCGCTTGATTTATTGCATTGGAAAATTGCCATCTACTGAAGCAGCTAATCAATTAAGACAATACATTGATAATCAGACGTGACAGACCAAATGCATTATGATCTCACATCTAATTACAAATTGTTGATGGTTTAGTTACTCCCTCATATCGCGTTCATTTTCCAGCCTTGAACCTTTGTCAAAAACCAAAGGATTTGCAGATTATGCGTTTGGTATCTTCTTTCTTATTGTGTAAAAGGTGTTTCACATTGTGTGTTTCACATTGTGGGTTGGGGTCCGTTTTATTTTTATGGACTCCTTTTTAATGATTAAATTACATTTTATTCATCAAAAAGCATGTCGAATTAATTAAAATCATGAAACTTAAACAATTTAACATCAATTTATTAAAAGTTTAACAAATATTACATGTTTAGGGCCCTAT